ATGCTGACCTTTTCTGCACTAAACCCTTGAAGAGATTAGGAATTGAGGAAAGTGTCCCATAGTATTTATACTGGTAAATATGAAATGACTTTTAGTTGTACAGGATGAAGCAAATGAGACAAAGACCTAAAAATGTTTTGTAGTGGCTCAGTCAGTGTGGCTCAGTGGTTGAGTGTCAACCTGTGAACCAGGAGGTCACAGTTCAATACCCAGTTAGGGTACATGCCCTGATTTCGGGCTCAATCCCAAGTTGGGCGTGCAGGAGGCAGCCAATCAATGATTCTCTCTCATCACTGATGTTTCTTTCTCCCTCTCCCTCTCCTTTCCTCTTTGAAATCCATAAAAACATATTTTTAAAAAATGTTTTGTAAATGGTGAAGCATAAATCAAAGGCAGTGTCTTTTCCATCAGAAATCACCTCAACATTTATTTTGTGCTGAGAGGAAAATTTAACGTTTAATATTGCTGATGCAGGAAAAACAAAACAAAACAAAAAAGGGACTTAGAGAACCATCAGTGAAACAATTCAAAGAAATTATAATGTTATATCATAATCAGCAACTGTGTGTACCTCTGTAGGAGGAGACTTAAAGTTCTTTGGGTCCATGATAAATCCCACAGAACTAGCTCTGTGACTCCAACCTCAACCTCACTCTCATGCCTAATTAACAATGGAAGCTTTCTTTCCAGCTATAACTACTCAGCTATTTTGTATCAAGCTTTTACCCTGCTCAGAATCCTGGCTGTCCCCAATTTGGTTGGACTCCAGGGACAATCGTCAAAAGAATCCTGAGACTTTTACTCAACTCTTAGTAGCTCCTGCAACACCACCCACCAGTCGTACCTTTAGACCACCCCCCTGCCCCCAACCTACCCTAAGTGGGGGCTGCAGATTGGCAGTGTCCCTAATCACCTGGGAGTTTGTTAGAAATGCAAATGTTTGACCTTTCTCACTCCATTGGCATTTGCATGTTCACAAGATCCTAGGACGCTGTGTGCACACAAAAGGCTGAGAAGCGCTGGTCTAGGGCAGTGGTCGGCAAACTGCGGCTCAGCAAACCGCGGCTCACGAGCCACATGCGGCTCTTTGGCCCCTTGAGTGTGGCTCTTCCACAAAATACCGGCTCTTCTGCAAAATACCGACTTCTGCGCATGGGCCACGAAGTTTCAATCACACTGTACGTGCGCGCCCGCACGTGGTATTTTGTGGAAGAGCCACACTCAAGGGGCCAAAGAGCCGCATGTGGCTCGAGAGCCACGGTTTGCCGACCACGGGCTAGGGGGATGGTCCCTCACCTTTGGTGAGCATCAGAATCACCGGCTGCTGGGCCTGATCTGGGGCCACACTGAGAACCACCCTCTGGGCTTCAGGCAGTGGTTCTCAACCTTGGCTGCACATTAGAATCACCTGGGAATCCCGGATGAGGCCCAGAAATCAGGATTTTAAAAAGATTCCCAGGTGATTCTAATGTGCAGCCAAGGTTGAGAACCACTGAGCTAGAGGATTAACAGAGATGCAGCAGATCCTTTCCCATTTACTGAGCGAAGTGGGATTCCTACACCTTCCAACTCAGCCTGAGACGAGAATCCAGGAAAGCTGGCACTCCTCGGGGCCCGCCGCCATGGCCTCTCCCCTTTGGGTTGTTTTAATACTGCCTCCTGTTTAAACAGAGCTGGGGACGAGAGGTTCTAGGGCCTCTGTACCAACGCCAGAGTAAATGTATGGCAGAGGCTCTTTCCGGGAATGTGTTCTGCCCACCTTTAAAGCAAACAGAGCCTGGGGCGCTGCAGCCCAGAGCTGTGGGGATGGGAGTTCGCTAGCTGAGAGCAGGACCGGGCAGGTTGGGGACCCCGCACCAGCCCTTTCACGGAGTGCTCTTTATAAAGGCCCTTGGAGTCTGTGGCTTTCTGTTCGAGTCCTCCTTGGGAATGCTCAGAGCTCTCGAGTCCACTGGTGCCCTGCAGGGCACAGCAGCCAGGCACCCAGGGCGGACGCACGCTAAGGAGCACACCGAGGCCAAGCCAGCCCCAGGACTGCTCGCTCGCTCACAACCCGCACACTGTGCATTCTGCTGCCTCTCTGTGATGAAGATTCACCTAAATGCATAGACAGGAAACCTCAGGCGAGCAAAATTACCTTCACATAGAGACATTGTACCAAAGGAGGACACAGAAGCCATTCTGAATAGTAGAGATGAGTGTTGACCGGCAAGAGTTTGGTCAGCTCTACCCCAGTTTCCCACTGGATGGGAGGAGGCAAACTGTTTAGAGTTTGTGAGACCCAGATTGTGTCTCACAAACTATAAATTTACACCACAGATAAGCTTCAAGGAGAAACAGTAACTGCCATAGAGTGCTTGTTATGTGCCAGGGTCCAGGCTAAATGTGTACAGGTATTACTTTAATCCTGGCTATGCTGTTAACATCAGTTACCCTCACTTTACAGATGTGGAAACTGGGGAACAGAATCCTTACATGTTTTGTCCAAGGTTACAAAGGCAGTTTGGCATCCAAACCTGTGCTCCTGCCCGTAGACCACATGTGGCAGGTTCCAGAACAGCAGCTTGGTGTGGTGGGGAAAGACTCAACCATTATTGTGCACAACAGGGATTTAAAACAAAACAAAACAGTCCTGGCCGGTGTGCTCAGTGGTTAGAGTGCCGGCCTTTGCACCAAAGGGTCGCAGGTTCGATTCCTAGTGAAGGGCATGTACCTGGGTTACAGGTTGATCCCTGGCCCCAGATCAGGGCAGTGTGGGAGGCAACCAAATCGATGTGTCTCTCTCATATTGATGTTTCTCTCTCTTCCTTCCTCTCACTCTCCCTCCCTCTCACTCTCTCTCTAAAAAAAAAAAAAAAAAGGAAAAAGTATCTTCCAGTGAGGATTCAAAAGAAAACAAAAAAAGCCAAAAACTTTTTTTAAGCATCGGAACTTTGTATGTTTGCTTGCTTATTTCTTTATTGGCATGAGGGCAGGAGACAAAAATCTAACTAGGCACCCTGCTTTCTAAAACAGATATTCCGGGTGAAGCCAGGCAGAGGCTCTGCACCCCTGTCTACTCCCACAGCCCCTCCCCCACCGCACCCGCTCCCACCCTGTGTTCACTCCCAGGAAGTGGTTCCACCTCTGTGGTCTCTGGCCTCAATACTTCCAATTCCAAGTCCGCTCCTTGCCTTCTTCCCCCCTGGGGGAACTAAGAAACTTCTCCCCAGTTCCTGCCCTGAAGAGCAGGGCAAAACGTGTCATGCGTTCTAGAAGGGAACGGTTCTGCGGTGCCTGGGCTTTGAGAGATGAGCTGAATACTTGAAGTATGACGAATTTTACTGAGCACCTGCAATTATAGTTAGTCGTTGAAGGAAATGGTGGGGGAGTTGTTTAAGAAGTATCGTGATAGCAAGTCCAGGAAGAAGGTTGAGTTGGAACATCTGGTGTCTACCCGTGTACAGGTCCAGTCCAGCTTGTGCATTAAGCATTAATGGTTGGCGTTTGTCTAAGCTAAGGCATGAATGGGTTGGGTATGTTTTAGGGGAGTGAGCACAGGGCTATCCTAAGCAATAGTTCATGGAGTTCCCACACTGTCTCTGTGCCTGAAAACGTTAGTGCCTGAGGCTTGGGTAGTTCCATGCCCAGCCACCATCCACAGCACTCCTAGGGAGGGACCGCAGGTGGCTCTGCCCAAGGACCAGAGTGGCAAGGGACTTGCCATTCTCTCCATGCCATCCAGAAGGCTAATGGCTGCCATTCTGGGTCACGGAGCTGGCTGGGCCAAACGGGGTCAGCCCCAGGGAGAGAACAGCATAGCCAGACTCTTCTACACAAGCACTGGACGTCTGGAGTGGCAGGAATTCGGGACATGTTGGTCTCCTGCAATCAATGACTAGATTGAATGCAGAATGGACCACATTTGGTGGTGGTGGTGGTGGTGGTGGTGTTGGGGGTATGGGGGTGGAGTGGTTCTCACCTCAAAAAAACACAAAAAACACTTGAACCTTAAATCACCTTTAACATTCTGGCAGACATTCTTCCAGTCTTTTTTTCTTTGCATTTTTTTTGTTTGTTTACATAGTTGAATTCACAGTGTGGACTTGATTTTGTGTCTTGTTTTTCTTTTACCTACCTGTATCATAAGCATTTTTTCATGTGCTAATTGCTTTTCATAAGCAGCAAGTAATCTTGAGTGAGGTAAGTAAAGTTACCTGCACCTTGGTTTCTTCATGTGTAGAATAAGCGATGTTTATTTTACCGCCCAACAGTCACCAGGAAGGCTTTTTAAAACACAGATTGCGCCCTAGCCGGTTTGACTCAGTGAATAGAGCCTCAGCCCTTGAACTGAAGGGTCCTGGGTTCGATTCCGGTCAAGGGATACTTCGGTTGCAGGCTCAATCTCCAGCCCTGGTCGGGGCATGTGTGGGAGGCAACCAATTGATGTGTCTCTCTCACATCAATGTTCTTTCTCTCTCTCTGTCTCTCCCCCTCCCTTCCACTCTCTCTAAGAATTAATGGAAAAATATCCTCAGGTGAGAATTAACAAAACAAGCAAACAACAACAACAACAAAAAACACAGTTTGCTGGGCCCCCCCTCCAGAATTTCTGATTCAGTGGGTCTGGAGTGGGGCCTGGTAATTTGTATTCCCGGGAAGTTCCCAGGAGATGCTGATGCTGCTGGTCAGGAAACCACCTTGGAGAATCCATGAAATGAGGAGACTGAGCTGTGGGAATTCCAAGGTTTCAAAATTTAAGTGTTTGCCTAGTTTTCAATTTTAAAAAAAATCCAACTCTTAAAATACATGACTTTCCTGAACTTTCAAAAAAAAGCACCATTTTTTTAAAAATGTAAAGGACCATCATCTACCATTTACAAGTAATTGTTTCCACTTGTAGCTCACATGCGTTCCATACCTATTTCTCTAAGAGGTTACCTGGATTTTTCAAAGGATATCTTTGAAGAACAGTCAGACTTATATCTAATACTTTATTCTTTTTCTTTGCCTTTACATAGTTCCATATGTATTGAAGAGCTGTGCAGAATTTATAGAGACTCATGGCATTGTGGATGGAATTTATCGGCTTTCGGGAGTCACCTCAAACATACAACGGCTACGGTAAGCTGAAAGAATAGCTCCCAACAGAATTCTCTCATAATTCTTTCTCTGTCCATATCTCTGTCCGAAGGTGTTGGGATATTAAAAACCTGAAGGGACTGAGGGAAGGGTGGAGGGGCAGAAGATCAAGTGCTGCTCTTTTCAGATGCCTGTTCCTAATCTAATCAGGAAGTGCTCTAGTCTGATGTCATTCTTTCCAACAAAAGCTCCTGAGGGCTTTAAATCTGTTTCTTTGTTTTATACTAGATTTGCCCTCCTTGGGTGGATTCGACTGAACGCAAGTGATTTTAATTACGAGTTAGGGAAATATGATTTATAATAATTCACTTGCTTACCCAAAGCTCAGTTAGATCCCATTATATAGTGTTCAGAACTTGGAGATGGATTGAGTTTTTCTGCTGGCACACACCCAACCTTTGATATTTCATCTGCTTGGGAATTCAGAAGTCTGCATGAAGGTGCATTTCTCTAACTGATGCTGGTATTTTAAAAATTACTGATGTATATATGGTTTTTAATTCTATGGATTTATCCCAAACAATTCTAAAATTTATTCTTGAATTTTTGGGAAGCAATTTCTATCACATTGAAGTCAGAGTACAGTAACCTTCACACTAGACACAGATATGTGTGCGTATATTTTATATGTGTTGTGTATTAAATCAAGGGAATATATACACTATATAGAGAGAATCCAGGGTGGGGTGAAAGTTATTCATATGGAAAATAATGCAATAATCTATATATATAAAAGCCTAAGCGACTGATTGTTCAACCGGTAGCTATGATGCGCACTGACCACCAGGGAGCAGATGCTCAGACTGGTAGGTTAGCTTGCTGCTGGGGTCCAACAGATTGGGACTGAGTGAGATGGGCTGGACACGCCCTGGATGAATCCATGCACCGGGCCAGTTTTGGCCCGATCCCCACAGGCCAGGCCAAGGGACCCCACTGGTGCACTATCAGGGCAGGGAGGGGCCGCAGGAGGGCTCCAGGGTGTGCCCAGCTCATCTTGCCCAGTCCCTATTGGGGCCGATCAGGGCCAGCTGCCTGGGGAGGGACCCCACCAGTGCACGAATCCAGCTTCTCCACCTCCCCCTGCTCCTGAGGGGCAATCGGGGCAGCTACCAGTGCTGGCACCCACTGATGGCGTGGAGCGATTGGGGCCAGCGCCAGCAGCAGGTGCAAGTGGGGCCGGCGCCGTCAGTGGGTGTGAGCAGTAGCTGCTGCCCTGATCGCTCCTCAGGAGCAGGGGGAGGTAGAGAAGCCCTCAGGGGTGATGGGGACTGGCGCCAGGCGTTGGCAGCTAATGCAAGTGGCAGCTCCGGTGCCGGCTGCGGGTGCAGGTGCTGGGTGGGACCGCAGCACATGGGAGCAAAGAATATTCAGTAACCACCAGAGGCTTGCCCCAATGACAGTGACCAGCGCCTCGCCTTGGTTTGGTGCTCCCACTCACCTGCTCCACCATCTGCTGCGGCCGACGACCGCCACGACCATGTTCCATGCTCTGCTGCCTGCTGCCAACGCCTACCATGTTCCATGTGCGTCCCCTGGTGGTCTGCGCACATCATAGCAACTGGTTGTTCTGCTGTTCTGTCATTTGGTTGTTCTGCCTTTCGGTCTATTTGCATATTAGCCTTTTATTATATAGGATATAGATATTTATTATATGTTTTTAGTTATAAATGTAGACTTTTAAAACAATATAAAAATTCTTGTTCCAAGATTAATATATAAAATTCAATAGATTGTACAGGTAATTCATTTTTTTGTCTTCTTCTTACTATTTGGTTTTCTGCCCCTCCCTCTCAAATCTCAATTATAATAAAATTATACTAAAGGAATAAAGCATCCACTGGGGGGTAGGGGAGGCCAGGGGGTTGTCAAGGACGGGGAAAAAAAGGGAGACATATGTAATACTCTTTGTAATACTTTAAGCAATAAAACAATTTTAAAAAAATAAATAAAGGAATAAAACATTCTTTTTACTCCTAGAGAAGTGATGGCTGTTAAAAAAACAAACAACTGGCTTATTGCAACCATAGAGTTTAACGGATCTATGTTGCTACATAATTTCACTAATTAACTAGTGTGACATTTTTTAGAGTTTCAACAACAACAAATACTTTTGAATGGTTTACTCTTTTCTCTAAAATATACTACACAGTAGTTGATATCATGGAAGGATACTTGGGCGATGGCCAATTCTTTTTCACTTAAGGACTGACCTTAGCCTCCACAAGGGAAATTTTTGGCTAACTAAATGAATAAGCTTTAGATTGTTCTTGTCTGCCCTCTTAGAAAAACACATGCCTATGAATTTATGAGGCCATTGGTTTTCCTTTCAAGGCTTTACTCAGTTTCTTTTGGGTACATCAGGAATTTCCCTATCCCTATTGAATGGAGAAGCAGAATACAGGAGGATGGGCAAGCTGTTTTGAAATGCTGGCCCTGGGAGTGATTGAAATAATTGACCATGGGATTTTGTCTGAAATTTTACCCCTGGGAGACCCGTTGACTGTGTCACTGCTTGGCTGACCAAGGGAATGCTCTCAGGAAGCCTAACTTCTCTTCTGTAGTAAAGTTCAAACTTGTCACTGTTTAAAACCGATTTTTAATTGTAAGTATACATTAGTTAGGTCAGAATATTCCCTAATATTCTGACCTAACTAATGTAACCTCATTAGGAAATGTTTTTTAATTAGATATGAGGCCTAGAATCTGGGGAGGTTGTTTAAGAAGATATTTATAAGCTCTTCTATCCTGTGGGAACCACTACCAGGCAGCCTAGAAGGTTCCATCCAGCATCAAAGAGATCATTGATTAAAGTTCTCAAACCTTGGGTTTGAGTCTTCCGATAAAACAAGTTTGTTGACATGAATATGTGAGTGATAACAATCTCACTCACCCTAGTTTTGGACTCTCCTCCAAGAAAGAGGACTTCATTTAGAACAATATTTTGGAAAAGCTGAAATCTCAACAGGCTTTTTTTGGCAAATTGTTTTCATATTTCCCTGAAACTGAGACTGTGAGCATAATGCCATGAGAAATCCATATGTAAGTGGGCATTTTGTCTTTCTAATTACAGTTGCTTTGGAGGAAAGATCCAGATCTGAAGTGGAAGTCTTCTCGTAGCTCTCTTGTGCCTGAAATAGAATGTCTTTTTGTATCAGGGTCAAAAAATATAGTCAGATCAGCATTTTAGGGTCTTTTTACCCCTAAGCAGCTGCTGACATGGAACACATGTTCCCGGGATTGTTATGTCTCTGTCTGTGTTGTTTCAGGCAAGAGTTTGGCTCAGATCAGTGTCCAGATCTGACCAGGGAAGTGTACCTCCAGGACATCCACTGTGTGGGCTCCCTCTGTAAGCTCTACTTCAGGGAGCTGCCCAACCCCCTCCTGACGTATGAGCTCTATGAGAAATTCACGGTAAGTGTTTGGATTTCCATTATGGTTACTGGGTGGGATGCATGCATGGGGCAAGGAGGATTTCAACACTAAAATAACAATAATAATACTCACCAGATGGATGACATTATCTTAGCGTGGTGATGGACATAGCATGGTATAGTGAGGGAAGTAGGGTAGTGGGACTGTTTGCTACATTTTTTCTTACATTTTCAGAATCATGGGGGGGGAGGCTGGAGGGGGTTAATGGGGTGAAAAGCGGACATATGTAATACTCTCAGCACTAAAGAATTATTTTTAAAAATCAATAAGTGTGTCCTCTGGTGAGGATTTTTTTTTAATTTTTTCAGAATCATGTTTGTTTGTTTTAAGAGCTGGGTTAAATGATCTCCAGGTTTATTTAAAAAGTGTGTCTCATTGCTTAGGGTGGAAGCTAAGTACCAGAGAAGTGAAATGATTGGCCCAAGGTCACACAGCAGGACAAGACCCTGAAACTAGATGCTATACGCACTGCTGGTTCATTTTTATCAGGCTATTCCTCCTGTGTTTCTTTGGGGGGTTGGGGAAAGAGATAGGCGAATAGAGAAGGGAGAGAGAACAAACGGAGGTCAAGAGAGAGGTCAGAAAGCTGGGAAGAGAAAAGAATCTGAGAAGAGCAGCCAAGACGAGTGCTGGACAGACTGGTGAGTTGAGTTGGTGAAGGATGGATGGGTAAGAGCAGAACACCTAACTAGCAGCTATAGTCCAGTGATGGCGAACCTTTTGAGCTCGGCGTGTCAGCATTTTGAAAAACCCTAACTTAACTCTGGTGCCGTGTCCCATATAGAAATTTTTTTTTTTTATTGCTTAAAGCATTACAAAGGGTATTACATATGTGTCCTTTTTTTCCCCCACCCTTGACAATATCCCGGCTTCCCCTACCCCCCAGTGTCTTATGTCCATTGGTTATGCTCAACATATAGAAATTTTTTGATATTTGCAACCATAGTAAAACAAAGACTTACATTTTTGATATTTATTTTATATATTTAAATGCCATTTAACAAAGAAAAATCAACCAAAAAAATGAGTTCACATGTCACCTCTGACACGCGTGTCATAGGTTCGCCATCACTGAGCTATACGGTCACCAAATAGGGCACCGTAGTAAAAGCAGAAAGGAGAATGAATGCTTAAAGGATGCCTATAGAGATAGCATTAAAAAAGGGCTTGAATATTTGCTGCAGGGGGTGGAGGTGGAGAGTTGGGTTTAACCAAGGTGGAGCCAGCAAAAGAGGGGTGAGGAAGATGGGAGTGTATGCAAGGGAGTGATTGAAATAATTGACCATGGGATTTTGTCTGAATAAGAAAGGAAATGAGAGCATAAAGCAGTTGTATAACAGTGAAAAAGTAGATCAACAAATTATCCATCCCAGTGAGGTCAAGAGACTGTTGGAGTGGGGTGTTCCTAGGGGATGTTTGAAATAAAGCTTATGGAAGAGTTGCGATTGTTGGAAGGAATCTCTCTTGTGGCTCTAGAGCAGCAGTTCTCAACCTGTGGGCCTCGACCCCTTTGAGGGTCGAACGACCCTTTCACAGGGGTCGCCTAAGACCATCGGAAAACACATATAGTTTTTGTGATTAATCACTATGCTTTAATTATGTTCAATTTATAACTATGAAAATACATCCTGCATATCAGAAGATATTTACATGATTCATAACAGTAGCAAAATTACAGTTATGAAGTAGCAACGAAAATAATTTTATGGTTGGAGGTCACCACAACATGAGGAACTGTAGTAAAGGGTCTCGGCATTAGGAAGGTTGAGAACCACTGCCCTATATGAATTTATTTTGAGCACATAAAAGGTTCTTCCATTTGAAATGATATAGGAATAAGTAAATACTTTTTAAAAATCGGGTTTGGGACATTTATATATAAGAATCTATAATGATAGAGGGAAACACTAATAATGGTAATTGGAAAAACTAGATATACAATTGTATATTAAGATGATTAAAAAGAAAGATGTTCAAAAGATTAACAACCATTTATTTCAATCATGGGATTATAGTTTTTCCTACCACTTTAAAAATCATATCCACTAAAAATATATTATATAAATATATATTTTTTTGTTAATCCTCACCCCAGGATATTTTTTCCATTAAGTTTTAGAGAAAGTGGAGGGTTGGCGGGGAGAGCCTCTGGAAGAAGCACAGCACTGTTGACACCTAAAATTTTCAATTTGTTAAATTATTTGCCAGTTTGAATCAACGAAAAATATATCTTATTGTTGTTGTAATTAGTATGTAAGACTCTATTGTTTGCTTTCTACATAGTTTTATTCCTCTTATCAGCATAATAGTATCATCCTTGAATATGATAGAATATCATCATGTTAAAGAACTAAATGAATCTAACTTATTTTAACTAAATTTCATTCTATGATAGTTGAGGGTAGATAAGAATTCTGGTCTAGAAATTTCAGAAATAAAGTTTCTTCTTAGCTCTTGCTGTTGGCTCAGAACAAAACCCATATTTATCTCTCCCTGCTTCTGTTCCCTGACATTGCTGATCATTCTGTTCTCCCACACCAACAGGAAAATACCAAAGCAATATTATTGTCAACTTGTCATCAAATTTTAAGGAAATCTAATGTTATATTTAAATAGTTTATTGACTCTAAGAAATAATATAAAAATCTTTTGCCCTAGCTGGTTTGGCTTAGTGCAGTGGTCGGCAAACCGCGGCTCGAGAGCCACATGTGGCTCTTTGGCCCCGTGGCATGGGCCACGAAGTTTGAATCTCACTGTATGTGCGCACCCGCACATGGTATTTTGTGGAAGAGCCACACTCAAGGGGCCAGTTTGCCGACCACTGTCTTAGTGGATAGAGTGTCAGCCTGTGGACTGAAGAGGCTCGGGTTCGATTCCAGTCAAGGGCACATGCCCAGGTTACAGGTTCAATCCCCAGTAGAGAACTTGCAGGAGGCAGCTGATCAATGACTCTCATCATTGATGTTTCTATCTCTCTCTCCCTCTCCCTTCCTCTCTGAAATTAATAAAAATACATCTAAAAATAATAATGAGAAGAAGAATCTTTTGCTGTGACAACTGACTTCTACATAGGTAGATCCTACTGAAGTTAATTATGCTGAAGAATTTATCATATAATAGAGTGCTCTGATCACAGTAATGAATTATAATATAAGCAAACCTTCAGGGATATGGAAATAGCTCTATGACATTGTCACACATTCTTATAATGATACTAGAGGCCTAGTGGAGGAAATTCATGCATTCTGGGGGGGGGGGGT